AAAGGAGTGTGAGCTAAGTGGCGAGAGGGAAATGGAAAGAGAGGGAGAAGGAGAGAGAAAAGGAGAGCTGAGCGAGAGGGAGAGAGTTGGGTGAGGGCGGGGCTGATGTTGCGTACGACGGGGAGGGGGAGGAGGAGGACATGGACGCCTGGTGGCAGGTGAGGAGGGCAACAGATGGGTGCTCGGGCCAGGCCAGGGGGGGGGGGGGGGGGGGGGGGGGGGGGGGGGGGGGGGGGGGGGCGGGTGGCCCATGGCCCATGGCCCATCGTGGCTTGAGCAACATCCTTTCAGGCAGACGGGTTGCAATGCCTTGAATTGAACACTACACCCTGGGATGGATGGCATGGCATGGCATGGCTCTGGTGGTCGAGGGCGAGGCGAGACAAGTGAATGCAGTCGATGGATGCATTGGATGCAGAGATGCAGCAAGGGCTGGAAGAAGAAAGACTTACCGTGACCAGAACGACTACTACTGTCTGGGGGGGATGGAGTGTTGGGAGAAGGGAGACTGCTGGCCATGGACCGAGGTCGCACGTCCTCGAAGCCTGGGACTGGCGCGTAGCGTTGAGTTGGGTGAGACTGATTCCACGACATATAGGGTAAGGGGCCAATGTGATGCCGGAAGGGGGGAGGGGCAAGAGGGCGGGAGCAGAGGGCCAGAGACTACAGTAAATCGACAAGTTTCAACGAGGGTCCGAGAGCCAAAAGGGGGATCAAGGGGATGGAGGGCTTTGTTGGATGATCAGAGTAGAGAGGAGGAGAAGGAGAAGGAGATGGAGATGGAGATGGGAGAGATGAAAGAGATGGAAGAGATGGAAGAGATGGAAGAGGTGGAAGAGATCGCGAAGAGATGGGAGAGATGGAGATGCGAGTTGTGGCGAGACATGCACATGAGCCTGGCAGCACAAGCAAGGCAAGCAAGGACGCGGGGGCTGGCTGCAGCTACTGTACAATTCCAGGATCCAGGATCATCCAGGAAGCAGCAAGGCATCTTGATTAGCGCTTCTGATGAGAGATCTGCGTGTGCACAGCGCCCCCATGCCCCCACCGCCGCCCAATATAGCTTGCACCACCCGGGGGGCACATGCTGTGCACTCGACTGCGCCTCGCCGCCCCTCTCCATCTCTCATCATCCTCATATACAGTACTCATCACCCAAATGCTGCATGCATGCACCGATGCATCCCATCTCCTGTCCGCTTCGCCTCTTCACAGCCTCGGCGTAGCATCGATCGGCCTACCGATCTACCTACCGATCCGAGGAGCGTGCACAGCCTCGGTCACACGCCCCCCCCCCCTATCCGATCATCCAATCATATCGCTTGGACGCGTATACATGATCCCACCAAGGCAGGCACGTCCCACGTCCTCCGATCCCTCCTCCCCCCGGAACCTTATTCGCCCTCATCTTCGCATGTGGCGGGCGAGTCTCTTTCCACCCGCCGTCAGTATGTCTGTGCGTGCGTATGAGCGACGCGGCGAGCGAGCGACTATTATATATGCTGTGGTGTCTGTCCAGATACTCGGCAGCCATCGGCGCTGCAACTCAATGAGAGTAGAAGAGCGGCGAGGCAGAGAAATGAGAAACGGGGTATGTGCAATGCGTGGGATCCCAGGGATGTGCCGATCACTCTTTTCAACGTGGGGATTGCAGCAGATTCTGCCCTCGCGCCCTCGCTGCAACTGCGCTTATGCGCTTACCATGACGCATCGCGACCTCTTATTCCTCATATATCTCATAGCGCCCCCTGCAGAATTCACACAAGAGCTATCTAGAGCCGCCAAGAGCACCCCTTCACTGGAAGCTGGAAGACTAGCCAATTCATAAAATCATGGGCCAGTGCGCAGCGCGCTGCGTCTCCATCTCGGGCCCGACCTCGCTGGGTCGCTCCGCCTTTGTCTGTCACACTAGACGCGAATGGACGCGTCTCCACGTCTCCACGTCTCCACGCAGACGCAGTCCCATTCATCCCAGACATGAGACACATGAGACACTCGCGTCGCGTTCAGATCGCGTCTCTACCTTTTCACCTCTCAACCCTTTCCGCCGCAGTCGTATCACGCGTCACCTCGACAACCCCTCCTCCACCAGATATCAACACGCCCTGGCCAGCTCCCCAACACACTGACGCCTAACGTATGCCAGCCCCTCCCACACACTACTCTCTATTCTCCCATCGTAAACAGACACATCTGGCACCTTCCTCACCTGGCGTCAGCTCACGCCCGTGACGCCCGTCTTTGCCTCTGCATTCCCTTCGTGACGTCTCACTCACAATCTCACCCATGCGTGCGTCTCGAATCGCTCGCCCACCCCCGGGTGGAGCCGACATTCCGCCCCGTGCTAGTCGGACCGCCGTGCGAGTGTCGATCGCTTCCCATCCCGCGCGGCGCACCGCCCAACAGCGCGGGCACTGAGCGGCGGCGCAGCACCACCCGCGCGCGGCTCTCGAGCTGTCGAGCACCGGGGCGCGCGGCCGTCGGCGCAGGCGCGAGCGGGCTCGTGGGCGCGCGCGCCGCGTGGCTCGTAGATGCAACAGGCGCACCGTCTGCCCGCGTCAGTCGTGATCTCCCTGTCACCCTCTCTCTCACTCGCCCGATCTCATACCGCCACCCGAGCCGACTCGGCATATGGGCCGGCACCGACCCCGCTCGTCTCTCCTCGTCACTCCCAACGCACCAGATGCAAAGCGCCGTTTGTGCCGCCCCGCTGCGCGGGCACGCACGCACTGCGTGCCGCCCGACGCGCAGGCTGCGCACGGGTATCCGGAACAGCGGGCGCCAGCGTTTCGGCTGTTGTCAGCGTGGGTACACGGGGGAAGCGAGAGCATGGAGAAGGACGCAGGGAGGCGAGGAGGCGAGGAGGGTAGGAGGAGAGGAGGATGCCGTGAGCCGTCGACTTGACTCACCACGCCTCGCATATCGGCCCCGGGCCTAGGCTGCCCCATACCCGGCTAGGGCAGGCGGGCGGGGACGTCTGGAAAGGCATGGGCATGGGCATAATCGAAAATGATGGAGGCTGCGGCACGGGTCGAGTCTCGTGAGGCGGTAAGCGATGAGGTGCCGGCGCGAGGAGCCAATGCGCGACCTGCTGCGCGGGGTGGAGCTGCGCAGAAGGCAGGTCGCCGGCGCTTGCGCGGCGGATGGGGGCACGAGGGGCGGTCAGTACGTGCGCATGCGTAGGGGTGAGGAGCGGCGGTGACGGCGCGCGAGCGGGAGTGGGCGCTGAAGCGCCGGGCGGGTCGAGGGTGTCGCTGGTATCGCGCAGGTCGCAGATCTCGCGGTTCTCGCCTGCGTTGGCCATCGTGCAGACGATGAGGCCAGCGAAGAGGGGGCAGAATTTATATTGGAGTCAACAGTAAGCTATGAGTACGCTGTGAGCAGTCAGTCGGCGTCGGAGAAACCGAGGGAAAGTGGACGAGGGCCAAGGACAGAACAAGGATGTGCATCCAGAGTTGGCACCATCCATTCCGTCGAAAGAGCGATCTCTTCGGGCATGGGCCTTGCTGTGCACACACTTTGCCCGGGCTGGCTACGGCCGGGACGAGACGTTCAACTTGTCAATGGCGGTGGCACGAGCGCCGGCACAAACAAGCGTGAGGTCAGGATGGTGGCCCCGTCACGGCTTCGTTCCCAACACGCCTCTCGCGGCTGTGCGCGGTAATCGGCCAATCGCCTCGGTCACGTTGCGTGGCCTGAGCGCCATGTCGCAGAGTTTGGCTGCCGAGGCGGCGTCTGATGTAGGAGCAGGAGATAGGTCGTATGGTCTGTGATGAAACGCTATCGGTAATAGTGGGCGACGAATGTCGCTTGGATTGACGGCTTCGCCACCTACGCCTTGCGTACCAAACTCTCTGCCTTAGTCTTCATCCGTTTCGCTCGGCTCGGCTTGCTTGCCGCAGCACGCTTTGTCGCGCTGCGTGACGCGCCCGGCTGGCCTACGGCCGCGTCGATCACGTCCATGCTCGCCTCGATCTTGTCCAGTAGGTCTGGCGTCAATCTCATGCAGCGCGCCTGCGTCCGCGTCCACACGCCCTGAACATACCTTTCAAAGACATCTCGCGGCGTTCCGCATCGGGCACACGCCGCCGCAGAAGGCTCCAAGTGTTCTTGAGCAGCGCGGGGCGCACAACCCAGTCGTCGGTTGGCAGCTCGGTCCAAGTAATATCCGTCTCGTGGGCGTACTTCAAATCGCGGAGGCGCTGAAGCATTCGCCGGCGGTCGAGGCGCACATTGTGTGGTCCGGAGGGTACGAAGGCGCCGCCGATTTGCCGTCCTTTCCTGGAGTTAGCTCAAGGTAGCTTCCAAGATCCTCACCACTTCTGCCGGCACTGCGCCGCTGTCCGCTTCCGTCCCATCAGTTCTACCACCTTGTCCCATGGCACCCCCGCGCTCGGCTTCCGCCCCACAGCTGCGCATGCCGTCTGCACTGCGGCACACAGCGCGTCCTCTTCCTCGAGCGACCACGGCCCGCTCACGCGGGTGGGAGCGTCGCGCAGCTCGCGCCAGCGGTCACGGCAGTCGTGCTCGGATCGGTCGACAGCGTCAGAGATCTTGGACCACTGATTCGGGTACAAGTTCTGCGCCCTGCTGTCAGTGTGGAAGGAAGACGGGGGCGCACTGTAGGAGAGCCCGGTCCTCACTGGGCAACCACATCCCTTTGCCCGCGCGCGGGTCGTACATCCGTTTGACCGCGTCGACAACGCTCTTTACAGGCCGTCCGGGGACTTGGGCCGCGAGGTCGAACCAGAACGTCGGATGAGAGCCGCGTTCCACATAACGGCCCTTCGACATGATCAAGTCGACCAGCTCTTCATCTGACATCTTGTTCACCTGCTGTCAGCCGCAAATAACTCAGAGAGGACGCACCGCCTGGAACGTCTTCAGTTGTTGTTGCATGGCTTTCTTCTCCGCCGCGAGGAACTTGCCCCGCTTTACTGCAATGACTGATGTCAGGAGAGAAAGACAGTGGATGACTCACGCCCCGTGGCTTCGAGCCGGCGGATCCCAGTTGGGCTTAGCCAGCGAGAAGCAAGCGCCCGCTCCGCTTCCTCCTCGGACGTGACCTGAGTCCGAAGGAATATATCGTACTCGGCATCGTCCCGTTTGGCCCGCTGTCTCGAAGTAGCCTGAGCAGTGAAGTTTGGGATCTTGGGGAGGTCGGAGACCTGGGACAGGGCGACAAGAGACTTGGTGCTTGGCGAACGCTTAAAGTTCGGTGTGGGAGTGTAGGCGGGCAGGTCGTCGTCAGAAGCATCGATTTCGGACACCTCTCCGAGGCCAACACCTTCCTCCTCTTCGACGGCAAGCCCGAGATCCTCATCTCCGCTCTCAACAACCTCGTCATCGTCCGCGTCCCCGTTATCTTCCGGGTCCCCACTTTGATTCTCCTCTTCGTAGTCGCCCGATCTTTCAGCTCTGCCCATCTCCTTCTCCTCATCCCCTTGCACCCCTTTAGATCGGCTGACTGGAGTACCTTCCTCGTCCGAATCGTCAATGTACTCTTTGCTTAGCAAACTCTTCCGCTCTCCCCAGGTTGGCTTTCGCGTGCTCGGCGGAGGCGTGAGGTAGCGTGGAGGCGCGAGAGAGAGCTCGACCCCGCTGAGCTCGGACACGGTTGGTGATGCAGGTTGGCTGCCAGTGATCGTCTGCGGCGTGAGAGCGCGCGGCACTGCCTTGTGGGCGCGCTTGCGTTTGCGGCTGCCCTGCTCCTTGGGCGTCGCGAGAGCTCTGCGCCGTTCTGGGCTCAACGTGGCGGGCGACGCCATGGCGATAAGAGTAGTTGGAGAAGGAGGAGGGGCGGGGTGTCAAAGGTGGAGGTCGATGTCAGAAATCTTGGGTGGCGGAGCCGGCGGGATTCACGCGAGAAGCACGTGACGAGAAATCTCACGTGAACAACACAATGATTACAGTATAGGAACGGGGTTGCGTCATTAGAGAATACATTGTGGTGGGGAAGCAAAGGAATTAATTCTGTTGGTGACGTCCATGGCGCTGGCTGGCATCGCTGCCATCGCTAGCATCGCTAGCTTGACAGCGATTAAATTCATCGACTTGGACCAGCTGACCTTGCTTCGCAGCAGCCACCCAATTTGCTCCAGGATCCATGTCCATCAGATGGCGATGAGGCGCTGGCAATCTGAGCATGTCGTTGGGAATAGGAAGAGTAACCCTTTAGAGTACGGAGTGTAATAGGCCAAGAGGTGGCTGTGGTGATGATCCGCAACGTTCGCTGGGTGCTGGCGGCAGCGCTGCAGGCTGCAGGCACATCATGTAGGATGCAGGAGGATTTATTATGCCCTGCCAAACGTGCAGACCCTGACGTAGATTGGGCCAGAATGCAGACGGGCCCAGTCCCAATTACCCGCCAATCCTCCATGACCCTGGGCTTGTTCACGGCCACAGCTTCCACCCAGCATTCCCAACCCTCACCGTACGAGACATACGAGTCATAGGGGACAGGAGGGCCATGATGCATCCGCGTCTATCCGTCAGGCCACCATCCGCCTGGCCGCCTGGCCGTGGAGGTTCCAGCCTCAACTAGGCTCACCTGCTGGGTGCCACCAAGGTTGCGCCGCGCGACTCTCACCCGCCCCGCCCCGCGCCCCCCGCTTTCCCTCCCTCCTCGTCCTCATCCTCGTCCTAGCCCTCATCTCGTCTGCGTCTCATCTCGTCTAGTCAACTCTCCATCATCCTCCTCCTCATCAAGCTCATCATCTCCCTCCCCTCCGACACGACTGTTACCGCACGTCGTTCGTCGCAGATCTTCACATCTTATCCCCCTCCCCCGCTTGCTCTCCATCTTGGCTTGTATCTTCATCATTTCCACCCTCCCCCCCATCTTCTCTTCATTCACGTCACTCCACACATCCACAACCACTGCCATCTCTCCCATCTTCCCCCGTTCTTTTCTTGCCTGTCGTCCAGCTGTCACCTCCGACAGCCAGCAAGTAACCTCGCTCGACCTGCTCAAGCCTCCGAGCTGTAACCTTCGTCCCGTGGCCACGCTCCACCCGTCACCTCATTCACCTTCTCCCCGGCCCCTCGCTTGTGCACGCACCTCGCTCTCATTCATACCTCACATCCAACATCAAGTCCACTTGCACAGAGCTCATAGTCTCTTCCACTCTTGTCCTCGCCACCGACTCCTCGATAACTCCCACTCCCCATCATGCTCAAAGGCGTAAAGGTAAGCACACGGCCCATCATCGCTTCTCTTGCACGCACACCGTGACTGTCGCCTCGCCACTCGCAGGTGACTTACCTTCCCTCTTCAACCATGATGATCTGCTGACACATCTTTAGCAGCTGTGGCCCTCGTCTGGTGCAGGCACGCAACAGCAGTCAAACGATAACTCCACTCAAACGCTGTCGCCATCCAATTCGTTCCAGAACTTCGCTGGTCCGGCTGACCAAGCGACCCCACGCGCCTCGGCGCAAGGCAACCCCTTCGACGCACCGCACCAACAGGCACCTCAGGCTATTGCCGGTGCCCACGGAGGCTTGACGAAGGCGACCTCGGCGCTCACGCTATCTGGCTCGCCCAGTGGCAATGCTGGGTTCCGCACGCCCTCTGCGGTTGGCTTTGCTCCGATGGGAACACCCGGCGCCGCGCCACCCACTACTCAAGTCACGATCGGTGACACCCTGGGCGGGGCCGGAGGTGTGGGCGGCTTCGGTCTTCACGAGCCACCGAGGATGCTGAAGGCGTCTAGCAGCTCCGTAGCCAGCGGAACGCGCACTCCGCAGGACGGCACCGCCACGCCCGACGATCCGACACAGCCAACTCAGTCGATCCGCGGCACCCTTAACGTCAAGTTGATTCAGGCTCGCGGGCTCCATGTCAACACTGAGCATGAACCGCAGCCCTATGTCGTCATGCAGTTTGAGCAGAATGAGTTCGTCTCTCGCACTCCCCATCCAGTAACCAACCCCTCCCACGTTCCTTTCACTCAGTCGCAACCGCAGCCGCTGGGGCGCACCTCGTCGGGAGGACTGGGGTCCATTACCCGGGCGTTTGCAGACGCCATGGGCCGTGGCAAGGGCAAGGATGGGACGCGTACGCCAAAGCCGGAGGATGGAGGTGCTGGCTCGTGGTTCGGTAAGCCGGGCCCAGGTGACCCGATTTGGAAGGAAGAGGTCACATTGTGAGTATGGCTTGCTTCCGCGTTCTCGTACCGAAGCTATTGCTGATAGCGCCCAGTGATCTCACGCAATCATCTGCGGTCGTTCTCGTGTCTGTGTACGACAGGAACCAGGCCGGTGAGGGCTTCCTTGGCATGCTGCAGATCAAACCGGTGCTCAAGGACGGCTACACTGTCGACCAGTGGTACAAGCTCGGCACGCGTGGCTCAGAGCAGGCTGCCGGAGAGGTTTGGATCCAGATGACGTTCACGGCGGCGAGGGTAAGTGCTATTACACCGTGGTGTTCCTGCCCACATGCCGGCGGTGGTTGACGACGTCACAGTCCAAGATTCACCTCAAACCTAGTGATTTCGAGTTCCTCAAGCTCATCGGGCGCGGTACGTTTGGCCGCGTTTTCCAGGTGCGCAAGCGCGACACCAAACGCATCTACGCCATGAAGGTCCTCTCCAAGAAGGAGATCGTGGCCAAGAAAGAGGTCGCGCACACCATTGGTGAGCGAAAAATCCTGCAGCGCTCGCTGGAATGCCCCTTCCTCGTCGGTTTAAAATTCTCGTTCCAGACCGAGAAGGAGCTATACTTCGTCACCGACTACAAGTCGGGAGGCGAGCTCTTCTGGCACCTACAGAAGGAAGGCCGCTTCTCCGAGGATCGCGCGCGCTTTTACATTGCTGAGCTCGTGCTCGCTTTGGAGCATTTGCATAAGTACAACATCGTGTATCGCGACCTCAAGCCGGAGAATATCCTCCTGGATGCTACGGGTCACATTGCGCTCTGCGACTTTGGTCTCTCCAAGCCCGACCTCACGAACGACCAGCTCACCAACACATTCTGCGGCACGACCGAGTATCTCGCACCCGAGGTTCTGCTCGACGAGAAGGGCTACGGCAAGCACGTCGACTTTTGGTCACTTGGTGTTCTCTTGTTCGAGATGTGCTGCGGCTGGAGCCCATTCTACGCCGAGCAGACTCAGGAAATGTACCGCCTCATCTGCTACGGTAAGATCAGGTTCCCAAAGCATGGTGAGTACTCCCTCTCCCTAAGTTCCGTGAGGCACGCATACATCTGGGGCGCTCGGCCCTCGTGGTCGCCGATCATGGATGCGCACGGGCCTTCCTCTCGAGCGTTCCCTTCCAGATCATCCTCACGATTGGCATGACGTAGGCGGCTGCGTGTGCATCGCTTGCATCGCGTGCATCTCAAGGCGATGCTCGATCCCTCTCACTTCGTCAAGACGTGCCCTCTCCTTTCGCGCATCGCATCGCAGCTAACCCCAGTTATTGGCGATGACGGCAAGCAGTTCGTCAAGGGTCTGCTCAACCGCAACCCGCAGAACCGTCTCGGCGCAAAGCGTGGCGCCGCCGAGCTCAAGGAGCATCCGTTCTTCAAGTCGATCGACTGGGACTTGCTCTACAAGAAGCAGATCACGCCTCCGTTCAAGCCCATTGTTGACTCCGACGAGAGTGTGGCCAACTTTGATCCCGAGTTTACCAACTCGACGCTCGAGGAGGCTGGCATCAACATATACGAGGACGAGGACTACATGCCACAGCCTGGGCGTCACGCGTATGTCGGTCCTGGAGGCAGCCTCTCCAAGCCGACAAGCATGGGCATGGCAATCAATGCACACAAGCCGCCCCCGCAGCCTATCAACGGGAGTCCATTGACTAGCTCAGTGCAGGAGAACTTCCGGGGGTTCACGTACACCGGCGAATCACTTGTGGTGAGTCATCCTCGTCGTCTTGGAACTCGTGAGCTGACAGTAGCCGCAATCGTTCCTCGCTGAGCACGGCATGGACTACGTTGAGGAGGAGGACAACGAAGAGGCCGTTGAGGACGACGACGAGTACTCGGACGAGGAGAGCATGGAGGGGCAGCGCACGCGCCGGCAGTCCGACGTCGAGATGGAGCACTAGGTTCTGTCCGTTTTCCTCTATCCCTCCCCAACTCCGCGGTCTCCTGCCACGCCTCACCACAAGTCCTCTTTTGCATGCAAACACGAGCTGGTCGGCGTTGGCGTGTACAAATGTCACAACATGCCACAGTACCAAACGCCAAGTATAATTCCTCAAACTCAATCCAGTTCATGTACTACATAGCCTTGCCCGCATGGCGGGACGTCTGTATCGCGCATGGATGGTGTGATCGGAAGGACAGGCTGCAAGAGCTAGCGCGTTTAGTGTGGGTGCGGAAGGCACGGTGTGGGACAAGAGTGTGCATGCGTAGTACGACGAGGAGGGCTCATGACAGTGTAGGCGGGAGTGTAGGTGAGAGCGGGAGAGAGTGAGTAGACCAACCCAAGACGCGACTCCCAGCACGCACGGTTCGTAGTCCTCTGAGTCAACTGGAGCGGAAGTTGCGCGCTTATGTGCGCAGCGAACGCGCACGAGTTCGCCCGCCCGCATTGACGCAGCAGTGAAAGCAACACAACAATAGCGCACACAGATCGTGGAAAAGTCAGTGCACTCGCTTAAGCCCGATATGCATGCTCAGTCGCGTGGAATTTGGACGGATAATGCGCGCGGTCGAGTCGAGGGCTACTCGATTGTCGATCGCCGATCGACATGGACAGGATGCGTCTCTGGCGTCGCACGACACAGCTGAGAAAGGTCTGAGCAGACCAAGCGTGCCATGTATTGAATCTGCAGAGCGCACGCTGTCACGTCTGCACTATCCAACATCACCATAGTGGGCATCTCCGAGACCACGTGGCGCGGCCGGCTCTCTCGTCCGCAAGGCCCGGCCGAACCGGCTCCCGCCCGACCACGGCCACTGACCGACCGAAACTACAAAGTCTAGTGGCATGCCGCTTGTCACCGCCCATCTACTCACCGCTCAGCTCACCATGCTCTCGCGTTTCGCTCTCCGCCGCGCTGGCGCGCAGCGCCTTGCCCTCGTCCGCTCCAAGTACACTGGCGCGGGAAATGACATTCAGGTGAGGCGGTTTGGTGGGCAGGGGAGGGGGAGGGCATTTGAGATGAGGGGCGGAAGAGGGGAGAGAGTGGACGTCGAGCGATCAGCTGGAGGGAGCCTGCCGTCGAGATGTGCGGCGGAGTACCATTGGCCGCCGGGAGCGGAAGGGGATATCGGACCAGAGCGGGAGGATGGATGCCCGCCGACGTCGAGCGGAACGAAAAGCGACTAACCCCCAGGCATCCGCTGTCACTATCGAGCAGACTAAGAGCCCCAAGACGATGCCGCCTGCCAAGGACCTTAAGTTCGGGCACCAGTTCACCGACCACATGCTCACGATCCCCTGGAACGAGAAGAAGGGTTGGGGCACGCCCGAGATCAAGCCTTGTGAGTTTGCAGTCAGTTATGCCCTCGGGTGTCGCTTTTGGCATGGGAGGAGGAGGAGGCGGCAAGCTGCGAGCTGTGTTTTACATGAAGTGGCGCAGCGAGGTGATCAGCTCGGTCGCGCACGATCGTCGGGTGCGGAATGAGGGTTTGGTGGTGGTGGTCTGGCTCCGACCGGTTGAGACCCGGCGGTAGTTCCTGAGGCGACGTCAACCGGACATCGCAATTCCTGTCAGGCAGTGGTGTTGCACGCATGCCGCGCGTGCGCAAGAGCACGAACAATGGCCAGCGTGCGGCAGTCGCACCATACTCTGCGTGAAGCCCCGGGCCCCCGCTAATTGCCAGACCAGCCGCTCTGCCTCGACCCCTCCTCCACCGTCTTCCACTACGCTTTCACCCTCTTCGAGGGCACCAAGGCGTACATCGCCCCCGATGGGTCGGTCCGCCTCTTCCGCCCCGACAAAAACATGGAGCGCATGAACAACTCGGCTGCCCGCATCGCCCTCCCCACCTTTGACGGCGAGCAGCTCACCGAGCTCATTAAGAAGCTCGTCATGGTGGACAAGAAGTGGATCCCTACCGAGAAGGGCTACTCGCTTTACATCCGTGAGTGTTGCCACATGGCTGTGTGATCATAGCCAGTACCCGTGCCGAGCGGGTGCCGCTCCAACTGCGAGTGGCGCGGCGGTAAGCGTAAAGCGCTGCCAACATGCCAACTCGATACGCCTCTTGGCAGCGCCACGTATTTTGCCCTGCCTTGCTCACACCAGGCCCCACCCTCATCGGGACGCAGGAGGCTCTCGGCGTCGGCCCCTCCTCGGACGCCCTTCTCTTCGTCATCTGCTCCCCCGTCGGCCCCTACTACCCCAAGGGCTTCAAGCCCGTCCAGCTCTACGCGACGACCGAGTTCGTCCGCGCCGCCCCTGGCGGCACTGGCGCGTACAAGCTTGGTGCCAAGTGAGTCTCCATCCGTTGCCGACGGAAGTCTTGGACGTGTCACGCTCAAGAGTCCTGGATTCCGGGCGCGATTGCCCAGAGATCTGCAACGGCATTTCGCATTTCTTAAATCCGCTTTGTCATGTACTGACCCCTCCTCCCTCTATCTCGATCTTGCCCGACTCTCTGCCCGATTGCCCGACCTGCTCACGTCACAACATGCTTCTTCACCACTCCGCCTCCTCGCCACTCCAACGTTCCTCCTCATATGGCTTGCTATGCGCCCCCTCAACGATATATATTGCTCGTGCTCGCTATCCGCGACTTCTGCACGCACTCGCTTGATCCAACTCCCACCATCTCCTCTCTCGTGTACTTTTACCCTCCTATCTTTCCGCCAACAGCTACGCGCCGGGCGTCGTTCCCCAGAAGGCCGCTGCCCAGCACGGCTACTCGCAGAACCTCTGGCTCCTCGGTGACGAGCACGCCCTGACTGAGGTCGGCACCATGAACCTCTTCGTCGCGTTCAAGAAGCCCGACGGCAGTGAGTCCTACCCATCTGATTTCGACGATCCCACCTTTACTCACATCAGCCACCGAGGTCGTCACCCCGCCCCTCGAGGACATCGTCCTTCCCGGTGTGACTCGCGACTCGGCGATGCAGCTGATGCGGGACCACGCCTCGGGCAAGACGAAGGTGCCCGGCTGGCCCGAGAAGCTCGAGATCTCGGAGCGCAAGCTGATCATGGACGACCTCGTGCAGGCCGAGAAGAACGGCACCCTCGTCGAGGTGTTCGGCACCGGCACGGCCGCTGTTGTGTCCGCCGTCGACAAGATCGGCTACGCAGGGCGCGACATCGAGATCCCCTGCGGACCGGCAGGGCAGGGCATGGGCGACATCGCCAAGGGGCTGCTGGACCGCATGGAGGCGATCCAGACGGGTGTCATTGAGCACCCGTGGAGCGTGAGGGCGGAGTAGGCAGATAGAGTAGCTGATGTATTGGGTTAGTGTAGAGTGTGAAGGTGAGAGCCCCGGTCTGTCCATGTTGGCTTTCATCGAGCCGTTTCCAACCACAGCTGAGCTCATTACTAATGCAACTGCTCGTGTCCCCGGCGGGCGTATTGTTCTGCGACTGCGAATGCGGCCCCATTTTGCGGAGTTCAGAAATCGCCCACAAGCCTCTCCGCTGCGCCTTTGCGCATCTCTAGATGTCTGTGCGCGACTGCGACGCGCCATGCCTCGGCCCGCTCGGCAAGAAGGTACACAATTACATGCAAAGGTCACAAGGCCGTGTGTGGCACGCGGATCTCCGCCACATCGCCCACGGATCACCTTTCCACCGAGTTGTCAGCGCAGATATGCCGCGGGATCCAGTAGGCAGGAGAAACAGACGTGCAGGCTCAAGCAGATGTGGAGCGGGCATGCTGCTGATCTCATTGTATGAATATTGCCGTGGGCATCCAGTTCTGCAGCCTGGCCAAAAATGGCCCGAAAACGTGCCGCAACGCCGGCCCGCACCCGCGACGCGCATCGCCGATACGCATTACACCACTGAGGCACATCTTTCATTACGCTGCAGGAGCGTTCGACCCAGGAACAAGGTTGCGTCCCCTTGGAGCCGGCTGCAAAACCCCTGCTCGGATCAGAGGTCTTTCGGCAGAACCCCGGAAAAGCGGGCCCGCAGCGTAGTCCGCACGCAACGGCCCGGCATGTGGTCCGCCTGCCGGCCCGCCGGCGTACGGCACGAGTGTCATATAGTCAAGGTCGCCTAGTTCGCAGGCTTCATCTCTGCACTTACCATGCCAGTATCGACCGAGACTACTACGCACGCACACTCCGCGCCGACCGCTACCGCGACGCTCAAGTTGCGCGCCGAGGAGGCGTTCCCGGAGCTGAGCACAAAGGGGGTGAGTCTGGTTGTCAAGAGTGTGATGGGCGTGGAGAGCGGGCAGTGGGAAGTGGCGAGAATCTCCGCTCACTCCAGTACACCGTGGTCCCGGGTGTCATTGGGAGGGAGAAAGCGCAGCGCTACGTCGACGAGATGTACAAGTGGCTTGAGAGCTTGTGAGTGTTCCAAAGTCACAGGGCGTCGGGCCGGCGTGCCGGTCCCGGAGGCCCTTGCCCCTGCTTCACGCCGTGTTCTGAGGAGAACGCCGAAGTCCAGATGACAAAGTGGCGTCGGCTTGTCCAAGAGTGTGATTCCAACCGTGCTTGAATATTCCCAGCTGTAATATCTTAATCGCGTCGTGGGAATCGCGATCACGCTCGCCAGCCTCTGCCACACCTCCTCACGTCTCCGCCTCACCTCTAGATCATCACTGACAATCAGTGGCAAAGGCTTCAAGGGCGACGACCGCTCAACATGGCACATCTCCAACGTGCCAACGTTTGACAAGGGTGGACTATACCACCGCTACGCAGTCGCGCATGAGCAGTTTGCTTGGGACATTCGGACAGAGCCAGGGGTTGTCGACGCGTTCGCCAAGATCTGGGGCACGGAGGAGCTCATCGTCTCATACGACAGTGTGAACATCTCGCTGCCGTACGGCGCCGAGCTACCCGCTGCTGCTGGCAAGCCGTGGCCCCATTGCGACCAGTCTCCCACTCGCCGCTTCAAGCACTGCGTCCAGGGTATTGTCAACCTGTACCCCAACGGGCCGAAGGACGGTGGCCTCATGGTGCTGGAAGGTAGCACCGCCCTCTTCGAAGAGTACTTCCGCACACACGAGCACCTCATGCCTGCAGAAGGGTGGTCGACTGCCGACTGGTGGATGCACGAGGACGCGCACCTCGAGTGGTTCTACGAGCGGGGGTGCACGTGGAAGAAGGTCGAGGCGGGCCCCGGCGACCTCATCCTCTGGGACTCGCGGACGGTGCACTACGGCGACGCCGCGCACGGCACCGAGCCCCGCGTCGCCACGTACGTCTGCTACAAACCGATCAAGGATATCAGTCCGCAGAAGCTCAAGGAGAAGCAGGAGTGTTTTGCCAACTCGTGGGGCACGACCCATGACCCGCTCGGTAAGAATGTTTGTAATCCCGCACTCATGTTAGAATTCCGCATCACTTCGGCGCGCCACAAGGGTTGGAAAGTCGAGGAGGGGGAGCGGACGGAGCCGCGCCAACCGCCGGTGCTGAGCCACCGCGCAAAGCAGCTTGCAGGGCTCGTGCCCTACTAGGCAGAGGAGATGGCGGAGGCGATTGCTAAATATATGACAGTGGAAGCTATAGAGAAAGTTGTACATAATGAAAGCAAGTTGCAAGGATCGGTGGATAGAGTGGGTGGATGCCGTCGCTTTGCGGAGTGCGGAAGGCCTTAGCGTGGAGGCGGTGCCTTGCAGGGGGTGGGTGGCACATGGCACATGGCTGGCACAGCCGAGACATTGCGCATGATGGAATAACGGGGTGATTGCACCGCTTGCATCTTGGAGTGCGCAGCACACACCTACATCACTCTGTACGCCTGTAATCCTAATAAAGACTTTGTGATCCCCATCTTCATCGTTCTCTTTCTCCATTTGATCACTGTGAGCTCCCCCGAGGACACCAACGGTAGACGCCACCCAGCTTCTTCGACGCGACGTTGCCTCCACCTCCCCGCACCCCTTGATTTGAACGCGCCCCGTGCGCTCCCCTTGCCCCGCACGACGCACCCACAGGCTCACCCTCGGCACTCGGCACCTGCCATCTACACTCTCCTGCGCCGTTTCTCTTTCTCATCTCCCATTCTCATCTTATTCACTCCCCGCGCACTTCGGCGCGCGCTATTTGCACACTACACTCTCCTTCAACCGCGAGCCCTTTAGCAGCTGAGCTACCCCGCACGCCCCGCACCTCGCCGCCACCGCCACCCCACCTCCACCCGGCGTGATGAGCGCCAACGCGTACGATTACGCCCCTCACCCCGAGACGCATGACTACCACCACCGACACCCGTATGGGGTGCCATCCCCCGACCCGTCGTTTCTGGACGACAAGAGCGGCATGCCGCTGAGCCCACATTCACCGTCTGGCTCAACAGCTCCGCTGCGACCAGAGAGCGCGTACGGCGGCCGCGACCGCGACGAGCCCTCCTATCCCTCTTACGCACACTACGACGCGCCCACTGCACCAGCACGGCGCACGGCGTCTAGAACAGACGAGCTCAAGGAGGGCGAGTTGCCAGATGGCTGGACTAAAGAGGACGAGGAGGCCGAGAGAGAGTTTCTCAAGGCTGGCCTATTCAACTGGCGCGACCTGTACTCGTGGCGTTTCTGGCTGCGTCTCAAGTGGTGGTGTAAGTCCCCGAGCGAGATTGCACTGACATTAGACTGGTATGTGATCTTGATCGTATGCGCGGTCGTGGTTATCCTCATGACCGTGTACCACGATCAGATCGTCACCTGGCTCACCCCGGCCGCTGAATGGATGCGCGATCTCCCAGGTGGATGGACGATTCCCATCGCCATCATGTTTGTCATCTCCTTTCCCCCGCTGTTCGGACATGAGGTGAGTCGTAACCGCATGCTAAGTGTCTTGGCGCGTTCCGAGCGGTCCAAGCTCGCCGCGCGCTTCGAGCTGCGCAATCGGCGTCAGGAGATGAGTTTCGCTGACTTCAGATTGTTGCCATCATCTGTGGTATTGTATGGGGGCTGTGGATCGGCTTTGGCATCGTCGCCGCCGGCACGCTCGCAGGCGAGGTCGGCAATTACTACGCGTTCAAGTATTGCCTGCGCTCGCGCGCGGCAAAGTATGAGAACAAGAACATCACGTACCACTGCCTGTCCTACGTGATGCGCGAGGGCGGCTTCTGGATTGTGTTCATGGCGCGTCTGTCCGCCATCCCCGGGCACCTGACCACGGCTGTGTTCGCAACTTGCGGCATGAACTTCTGGATCTTCCTGATTGCGACCATCCTCACGCTGCCCAAGCAGCTCGTCACGGTCTACCTCGGTGTCCTCATCCTCAACAAAGACATGAGCACGAAGAGCAAGATTATCTCGTACACTGTTCTGGCAGTTGGCTTCCGTGAGTTGCTCTCATCCCTCTCCAGCCTGCTGACAGCAGTCGTGACCGTCTACGCCGCGTGGTACGTCTGGCACAAGATGCACAAGGTTCGCGTGCACGTGTGGCGCGTCCGGCGTATGCAGATGGCCAGCCGCGGCATCGCTCTCGGCGAGGTCGGCTACGCGCGTAATCCCGACGAGGCCGAGGCCTCCACGCCTATCCTCATGACGCACCCGCACCGCAGCTCGAGCACGCGCGGCGCGCTCGGCGTACCCCCCGGAACATTTGGCAGGGACGAGCGATCGTCCTACGTCAACCCCTACGATATCCGATACGACCGCGAGGGTGATATGAGCATCTACCATGTTGACGCGATGACCGAGCGCGTCAATCTCGAGGAGGATATTGCCGACAGGATGCGACGCGCGCGTTCTCCACCTCCCGCCGTGCCAGCTGTACCACAACAGTACCGGTCAGCCGCGTTCCCACAGCCAGCACCGTCTGGGCTCGCACGCCAGCAGTCGTCTGCTTCCTCCTACCCTCCCGGCGCAGCGCTGCAGGCCATCCCCTCCGCGTTCCCCGTCGCCGCACCCGCACCATCAAGGTATGAGCAGTACGGCGGGCGCGTGTAATTGTCATATTAGAGAATCGCTGTGATCTGCTGCGCGGGCGTGCCTGCGAAATGTACGTTGTACATTGATACATGGAAATAGAATATGTTTTGCCAGATTCGCACCGAGGTTTGACAGCCGACGAGACAAGGAAAGGTCGCGTGCGCACGAGGCACAGCCATACGATCCCCAGCTCGTGGGAGAGCGAGGAGTGCATTGATACAGTGAGGTTAAGTACAACATATAACGTCACGGGCGCTCGTTGTCCAGCAGTTTGAACATGTGCCATACGCCAGCGGCCGCGAGGAGCGTCAACAAGGCCTGCTGTCAGTTTAATGTGGGGATGCATCTCACCGCGAGCAAGAATGGCCAAACGAGCAGCGGGTCGTGCATAAGTGGAAGGAATGCCAGAATGAGGATTGCCGAGATGGCTTGCGTGAAGAGGAATAGGGACGTCACGATTGAGCGGAGACCGGCTGCACGCGGCTGTAAGTAGTGGCCTCGGACGTAGCTCACGGGGTGACATGGTGAATGCCAGTTCGAGGGCTGACACGCAGGCCAACGCCTCGCTCGCGCCCGTCAGCAGTGGTGTGGGGAGGAGTAGCCATGCGCTCTAGTGGTGGTCAATCAATGACCCACAAGAGTCAACCACACTCACTAATGGTGAGACTCCATCCTCACACGTTGTGGCGCTGTATCCGCATGGAGATGTCAAGTAAACCTGATCATCAGCAGCAACCAGCGTTCAACGACTGCCCAACGTACCGCATATTGAAGAAGTGCACACCACACCATCCCCGCCGCGGCGAGGATGAAACCAGCGACAATGCGACGCACTGGTCCATGGGGGATGTTGCGCCCGTCGAGAAAAGGATATACTAGCTTATTGAGCAGTGGGATGGCTAGCACGATCGCGATCGGGTTGCTGGGGTGAGCCGTTGAGCGACGTACTTACGCCTTCTCAAGAAAGTCGTTCGGCACGCCCTGATCTCAGCATCCCCTTCAACAGACAACCAGCTCACATTCGTGGTCATCGAGCCCGCCAAGCTCGTCATAATCGTGTTCAATCCTCCGTCTGCAATGTTGTATATCGCGAAGAAGAGAAATAGCTTGCACGCGAGTAGCGCCTGCTTCACATCCCCTCCCTTAGGCTCGACTGTGTGTCCATTCTCCTCGTCTTCACTCGCAAGCTCATACTCCTCCGCGCCGCTCTGCTCGCCTTTGACGGCGCGCCGAAGTATGTCATACGCGTCTAGCAGCGCGGCGGGTGACGGTGCAGGTTCCGGTGCGAGGTAAGGGTACACAAAATAGAGGAGTGGCGGCATGAGGAAGAAGATCACGCCCGGGATGAGGTAAGCCAGCCAGAACCCGACGTACTACGGTCAGCGTCAGATAATTAGCACAGACAGTACCTTCTCGGCGAAGGTTGAACCAACGGCCAGGAATGCGCCAACATTGATGGAGAGGTAGTATGCTGCCATGATCTTCTGAACGGTCGCTGTTATCAGCTCTTGCTAACTACTGTGAGTTCATCGTGGGGCTACGCACCTTCCCTTTCGACAATGACGCGCTCGCCGTCCACGGTAGCGACGTAGTCCTCGTGGACGTACTGCTGTCCCATGAGCGGCGCGATGTTCGCCTTGATCAGTCCTGTTGTCAGTCATTGGGCAGGCATAGAACTTACCCGTCGCCCCTCCGAGCAGGATGACGGAGACGATGAATGGAGGGAAGGCTGTTCCCGACGACAGGACGGAGGGAACAGCCGCTGCATTCAGCTCGTGACTCGACTGGAGACTCACCCCATATGCACAGCACATGCGCGGCGCCTGACACAGCGGTGCCCACAGCGATAGTCCTAAACTTGCCCCACCTCACGTCGGCGAGTGCGCCGCCAAACTGGCCTTAGATCTGCCTCCCTGCAACTCACCAATGGTGATGCGAACGCCATGACCGTGAAAAGAGCGCTGACGGTTGCGCTAGCGCGTAGGCCCATCCCAAGCGCCCCTGGCGGTGTATCGCTTCCCGGAGCAGGCGCACCCGTCCGACTCCCAGGCGGTAGAGGCCGCTGCACAAAGTTCGCGAAGACGCCAGACACTCCGTAATACGACGCGCGCTCTGCGAACTCAACCAGTGCAAGGAGGTGCGCGGTGAGCGGAACGGAGGCAGGGACACGGCGTAGCGCTGATTCGGCGGATGTAGGAGCACGGCGGATAGCATGGTCTGAAGTCAGAGGGATAAGGACAAAGCGGGGCGCTTGAGACGGGCATGACCCCGGCGCCCAACCTACCCTCCGCCTCCTCCACGAGGTCGTACGCGTTGCGCGTGGAAAGCGCTCGTCGTATTTCTGTGAGCATATGTCGTGCAGATCGCCAAGGCGTGCTCAAGCTGTCAACAGGGGGAGGCGGAAAGGGAGAATGGTGAAAGGCGACAAACAGCAACAGGAACACCAATTGTTTGGTTGACGACATCGTCGGACCTCCACTACGTCAACTCACGGCCAACCACGGCCTGTTTCCATGTCGCATCCCCCATTGCCCTCATCGCTTCAACAGATTCCCAGCGCACAAAGACCTGGAGGAGCGCACAACTGATCGAAGCTGTTTCCCCCGGTACCTACTGGCCAGCGGGGCTGCGAATACCACCGCGCCTGCTCCAGCTGTTGCAGTGATTACATTGTCTAGGTACCATCTACATCGCCCTACGACCGCCTCTAGAGCACCCGAGTGTCGCAAGGTGCGCATACGTTGCGCATACGTCTCAGCTCTAATCTTTCATCTCGGCATCCCCACCCGCACGCTCAGCAATCGCCTGGCGGAGCTGCTTCTGGAAATCGTCCTCCACGTCGTCGTCATCCCAGTTGTCCTCCCACAACTGCTCAGTCGGGTTGGCCGTTAACGTGTCCGCAACGGTCGTGGTGTCGGCTTTGGTTAGCGTCATCTAGGAGCGAGGCGGCCGACAAGCATTCGTCCTTCCTGGCCTACTTCGACCCCTCCCGCTGCATCATATGAACACTCGGGCTCCAGAGCGGTGACCACAAGATGGCCGAATCATGCGGATCCAGAGTGATAGGCAGCCAGTATAGCAGCAGCGTACTCTTACTCACTCGCAGCGGGGAACTCCTAAAAGTCAGCGCGAAGAAACCCTCCTCGGCTCACCTCGAACTCGTCGTCATCCTCCAGCGCGCCGAGCTGCGGAAGATTCTTCTTCTCTGGTGGCGCGGCAACGGCCTTGGTCTCCTCCTGCTTCTGGTCGCTCTTGTTCTCCGCCATTGTGAAGGTGTTGTAGTTGTGGACGATGAGAGATGACGAACAACGCGTAACCTCCGCTTGCGTGTAGTCAGTGGGGTCACGTGAGTTTCGTGCCTGGCGGCGAACCGGCCAATATCAAAAGTTGGGATCGGAACGTCCACCATCAGCGTCTCTCATCATTTCCACAAGTACCATGCTCCCACCACGACTTTGCGCGCTGGGCGCGCGAAGGAGCATGCGTTCTGTGTCCTTTGCATGGGTGAGAGTTCCCGTCGGCACCGCTGACCGCAGATGGCACCGCACATCATGCGATCCTACGCATCCTCCTCGGACGCGCCTGGAGAGGTCTGGGACGCGAAGGCTGGAGCCCAGCTCGCGGGCGCACTTAAGAGTGCGCCACGTAGGCAGAAGAGCAAAGGTGGCAGGATAAAGCGGCGCTGGTCTGATGTGGAACCCCGACGACCCAACGGCCGCGGCTTCACTCCGTCCCAGTCCACGGGTTCCTCGACCGAGAGTAATGCTGAGAGGAAGCACGAGTCCAACGACAACCAGCATTCCGGGTTTGGGTTACGACCGGCCGGAAGTGCTGTTGCGTCAAATGCCCAATCCAGTCGAGTTCGCTCACGGCACGAGATGTCCGAGGACAACGACAGCGAGCAGTCACTGGACACCGTTGCTTCCAGAGTTAAAAAGGCGAAGACCATTGCAGCGCAGCGTGCCAATTTTTTGAAGCTACACAGCAAGAGCATCACATTCTTGGAGAAATCACCCGACAAGCGACAGCAAGACACAGCCGCTTCTTATCGCAAATCGCTGACGTCTATGAGCCAACACCTGGAACTTATCATGGCGTCGCTCAAGGTGGATATGCCGGACGAAGAGTATGCCAAGCTTGCATTGGACCTCAGAGGGGAGAATGCCACGCGCCCTCTTCGTTTTTCAGCCCGGGCGGACGACACAACGAGCAAGGGTCACGTAGGCTGGCACGCGAAAGCTGGAGGAGGATGTGAGTGAATTCAAGCAGCAGTAGCTGACACTGAGTTGGCCACACCTTTGGCCCCCGACAGCCAAGCAAGGAAGCTCTCCGTCTTGACTCTGTTCGCAAATGGGCTTTGATGGCTCGGCGGCAAGCTCAAAGGGCTACAAAGCTGGCTGAGCTGGGCGGTGCACCATCTGAGGCTAAGGATGCTGCAGCACTGTTAGTGTCAACAGCAGCTTTGGCCGCAAAGGACTTCCAGGAGCTTCGCGAGCGGTTGAAGGACCGCCTTAGTCCGGCCGAGCTGCGTGACATCGAGATCACCGAAGAAGGGCGCGATGGCTCAAACTTCTCCGGCGAAGACGTCGACGGTAAAGCAACCAACTGGACCCGCTGACTGTGACAGAGGTGATCGCCATGGCCGAAGCGCGATACTTCAAGCGGGACGGCCGCTTCGAGCCCGAGATCGATGGCGACTTGAGTGCTGCAGACTTCCCAGTTCGACCCATCAAGGCTCAACGCGAAGGCAAGGTCGCGCGGCTGGCCAACAATCTCCAGCGGGTACTCTTCTCTCCGGGAGTACATTATGTTCGCGACCCACGGACAGGCGTATGGAACTTCCCGCAGGAGTTGACCCAGATCCCCACACCAGAGGAGTTCAACTTTGATACCCTCCCCGATTATATCACGGCAAGCAAAGATCCCGAGCTGGCTGGTCTAGCTCAGGCGGATGGCATCAAGTATACCGGATCGACGTCTACTCTCACTGGCGCGTTCAGCCAGGTTTGGTTAACGCTCAATGGTGGCCAGGGAGTCGATATCAGCAAGCTTACCCAGGAGTACGCAACACAGGGCACGGACTACACTGCTGGTGCTCAGCTGCCTGCTGCTATCGCTGTGTGGCCGCAACCCAACGGGCGATATGCGGTAGACTCGGACAAGCGATTCCAAACCGACGCCAATATCTTATCTGAGTACGGCAATATCCTCGAGAAGATCCTCACAACCGACGCGAGCGAGTGGTGGAAGTCGCTTAAAAAGGTGCCTGAAGGCTTCACTCCACCTGCAAAGCCGACAGCTCGCGAGGCATACGCTTACTCGCGCGGCGGGAAGACCTTGATGCGCTCCCAGCTCGATTGCCAAGATAATCGTTTGCCAGGCAGCGGGACGTTTGACATTAAGACGCGTGCAGCAATGCCCATTCGCCACGACCGCGCGAACTGGGAGGCGCACAAGGTGTACGATATTAGCGAGACGCTTGGACAATTTGCCACCTTCGAGCGCGAGACATTCGACCTCTCGCGCTCGGGTATGCTGAAGTATTGCTTCCAGGCGCGCATCGGTGACATGGATGGCATTTTCATCGCGTATCACAACACGGCCCGATGCTTCGGATTCGAGTATATGCCACGAACCGAGCTCGACACCCGGCTGTTCGGTGGGCCTGATATCGGTGATCAGGTATTCCAACTGTGCATCGGTTTCTTCGAACGAATTATGGACCTCGCAACAGATATGTTCCCCGATGAGGCGCTGAGCTTGCTCTGGTTCCAGGCTCGCCCACCGCTTAACCCATTCCAGAAGGCGCGGATGGGATCGCGCGAGGTTAACGAGCTGATTGTGGCTGTGCAGCCTTTCGAGTGGACCGGTGAGGGCCCAGTTCCGACACGCACAATCCGGATACAGATGCTCAACAATGTGGATGGCAAGGACGTCCCTCCCTCGCAGGGCATCCGCTTTTTTGCTACTACGAAGGAGGAGCGCGCTAAGCAAAAGTGTAGGTAATTCTGTCAGTGCAGCGGCTGATTCCAGGGACGGTGCGGTACCAGATCGCCATTACCCCGGACACCCCAGATGGTCATGAGAATGCTCGTGCGCTCCGTGCCCAAGCAGTAAGCCGTCTCACGGCCATGAACTCGATCACCGTACCAGAGGGCAAGACACCTGCCGACATGTACGGAACCGAGAAGGGCTCTCTGCCCGATGTGGAGAGCTTGGAAGAGCTGAAGGCACCCGACTTAGACACTTCCCCTCCCGAGGACGCAGCCCCCGCTTCACAGGCGTCAGACGATGTTGGCGCGGCTACCGCAAGCTCTGGCTACGACGAACTGTCGTACGCAAAGATCAAGTGGGTCGAGCCGAATGCTAGGGTGCGAAAACTGCGCACAGCATCTTATGAGACCGGGCGAGCATACGAGGAGCGCACCGCCAAGTGGAACTCCGAGGTGCAACAGATGAAGGCGACAGATCCGGAGCCCGAGATCAAGCCCGACCCGTACATTATCACGGAGCACGAATTTTTGCCCACCAAGTGGCGCGAGCGCAAAGTAGACAGTGAGGCGGGTGCAGTTCCAACACCGGTCGAGAACGAAGTGGAAGAGTTCGCGGAGGCCGCGAGCAGGCGCGATGAGGAGGATATCCAAGTTGACCTTGACGGTGCCGAAGCCGAGTGGCCGAAGAAGGTTCAGCGGGAGCTTCCGCCTCACCTTCATATCTGAGCGCCTCTCTGACAGAACAAAAGTGCTCAGAAGAGCCCGCAATCAGGTTGCGGTCGGAGCATGCAACGGAGGAGCACCCGAGTGAGTCCGGCCGTCAATTTAGTCCGTCGAGACAACGGTACTACCCCTGTTAGAACGACGCTTTACCGCAGCATATTATATTGTTGTATGCATTACACCTCACAGAATGTGTCTCGACGTGCTGTGTGTACATCGTACTCCCAACTGCGCAGAGCAGTGCTACAGAGAGAGTACAAAGTGGGGCAGCTATGACGTGCCTGTGCCTGCCATATCTGGCGGGCCGGTGGAGGTCAAGCAATTGAGGCCACGTGTTTGCGCCATCATGACGCTGATTGCTCCTCAATCGCCACCCTCTTCTAGCTCTGCGTTTCCCATCACCGCAACATCACACAACGCCATGTCCAAGTGGAATAACATTTTTGACAAGGTCAAGGTACAGGCTCAAGCCGCCGGTGCGCATGCGCAGCAGTTGATCAATGTGAGTCCGATCGCGAGGTTGTCGGAAGAGGACTCGTCGCGGTGTCCAGCGGCGATGGCGCGTTCGCGTCGACGCTGACAACAGGACGGGGCCCAGACGGCCCGCGGACAGGGCCAGGGTCCCAGCATTATGCAGCGCGCGCAGGCCGGTGGTAACAACTTCATGCAGGGCTTCACGCTGCCGGGCGAGTGCGACAAGGCTGCCAAGATTCTCAAGAGCTTCCTCGGTGCGTCTGAATCAAGGGTTGATGTGGATAGTATAACCCTCCGAACTGGGTCTCCGGAGCCAAGGGTGGATGGAAGAGGGCGGGGTGGTTACTGCAGGCGTTGCGGCTTTGACACATGCCCCCATCTCCTGTGCGAGAGGGTACACTGTCACGAGGATCCACATGTGCCGAACAACCGGCAAGCGGGGTGTCATGGCCGTCCAGTCTCGATGGCAGATGCTTTGCGGCGTGCACGCAATCTGCTTACACCGAAGTGCTGAGGGTGGCCGGATGACACTGTCCTACCTTCACTTACCTCGTGCTTCCGAGTGGACAGCCATGGCTGGACCGTATCTCCTTTTGGCGCCTTTTCGCATCCAGTGCTTACTCACTCTTAGCTGACCCATCGAACCCCGAGTCGGCGCTAAACTCTGTTCCGAAGGAGGTTCTTCTCAGATGCAAGGGTAAGTTTCAATATCAGCAGGAGGCTGCCTGCAGGTTCAGCTAACGTCCAGGCCTCGCCGTTTTCACAATCCTCAAGGCCGGCTTTGTCTTCAGTGGCAAAGCCGGTTCCGGTATCGTCATTGCCCGCCTCCCCGATGGCAGCTGGAGTGCGCCGAGCTGCATTGCCACCGCAGGTGAGTTCGTGAAGCGGCTTGCGTCCTCTTTCACGCGATCTTGTTTTGGCGCGCTGGTCCCGCGGTCGGTGGTGATCTCCTTGCCGAAAGCTGTGGCACCTCACTGTCATTCTCCTTGTCAAGGACTGCAGTACACCTGCTGTTACAACTACTGCCTGCTATGGCGCTGGGGCGCTTGCGCCATAAACAGGTCGAGCGAAAGACTGCCTCTCGTCCAACAACACTCACCAGTTTCATCCTCTCAGGTGCTAACGTTCAGGCGTCGGATGGGGTCTGCAGGTCGGTGCGGACCTGACTGAGGTCGTCATGGTTCTCAACTCGGAAGAGGCAGTCAAGGCCTTCTCTCGTGGCGGCAATGTCACCATCGGTGGTAGCGTCTCAGCGGCTGCGGGCCCAATCGGCACTGGTGGCCAGATCAACGCATCTCTGGTAAACCCGGCTCCCATTTTCAGCTACTCGCGTTCCAAGGGTAAGTGAGGTTTCTTGTTCGGGGTTTGAAACCGAGCTATCTTTCGGTGGGAGACGTCGTCCATTGATCGTTATCCGCTTGCAACCGGTAAATTGGAGGCCGGCAGTGGCTATCCGTTGAAGGTCGGAGCTGGGCTGGCAGCGTCTGGCGGCAAGACGCGCCAGAACATGTCCTCGCACGGTGGTCACGCATGTGGCTGCCGTGAGGGCGCATATGCTGGAAATGCAGTTCCCAGGGTGGTAGTGAGGCACGGTTGTGATGAGCAGCAGCCCCAGATCTCGCGCAATCACATACCGTCCCAAGGGTGCCGCGGAGGAGGGGCAGCTTGTAAGAACCTCCGCGCGGCAGAGGTGCCTCCTTTGCAACTCGGTGGTTTGGCCATGCCGTGCCTCCTTGCGCGCCTGGATGAACGATTGCATGGATGCGAGGGCTCCACCGAGGCCGAGTTCATGTTTTGATCCCCATATCTCGAATGGACGACAGGCTGCAGTGGGTATGCGCGGCCTGACCAGCACTTCCACCTGCTTGGGCTGCACACTTGGATGCAAGGCTCGCATTCCATGGTTTGTCACATTCCACGCGGAACAGCTTTGAGGCCCCTCCTTATTTCCCCCCATCCCGCTCATTCCGCTGCTTTCCGAATTCTGGCTCTTGTTCGGCATCCGTGCTGACGGTCTACAGGCTTGTTTGCCGGGCTCTCACTTGACGGCACGATCCTCGTCGAGAGGTACGATGCCAACCACAAGTTCTATGGCAGCAATGTGTCGACCACAGACATCCTGACGTAAGTGGAGTCGGCCCCAGCGGCCTGGCTATGATTTAGTCCTAACACTCGCAAGTGGCCGCGTTCCGGCTCCCGAGATTGCCTCGCCAATGTACGACGTAATTGAAGGTAAGGAGACCACGGCTGACAGACTTGTGACGGAAAGCGCGACAAGTGCTCAGGCACGATCAATCCGTCGCGGATCGCTGACTGGCAGCCGCCGAGGGCCTCGACGAGAGTGGCCTGCCGAGCGAAGGTTACGTCCCAAGTAGTCACCCCGCACCAGCAGCTGGTGCGCCGGGCACGGGCGTCGCCCCTGGTGCTTCCGCCGACAAGCCCGTCTTTGATGCGAGCGCCCACCATTAGCTAATCAAGACGAGGCGTACTTTCCTCGGCGTTTCTGTATAACACAAACAAGCAGAACTCGCGGATCTTGACATCCAACAGTATCGACAGAGAGTAGTGCTTTGTGTCGTCTGGATGTAAACCACCGGTGATAGTTTGTGCGCCTCTTGCAAGGAGCAATGCTGCACTCGAGTACAGCAGCAGGCAAGGGGAAGGGAATTGAGTAGATGTTTCAGCGCTCCCGCTTCTCGGTTTGGCTCGGTATGGCGTTGCGGCGTCAGGACGCGCAGGACGGGACCGGCACTCAGAGGTTGCGAAAGACCGGTGCCGAGACGGCGTTGATGTCACTTGGCGAGACAAGCGACGAGCCACACCACTGGAAGCGGGAGGGGAGGCGAGTCCGAGACATGGATGATCGCCGGTGGCCTGTGGGATGATCAGACGCTGATCACGAGATTGCCACGAGCTTGAGCAAGGGCCGGGAAGGAGTGGCGGCCTTGAGGTGGCGCCGTTCCGGGCGCCGTGTCAAGTGTGGCGCGTAGGCTTGAAAGCTCCGAGCTGGTCGGGATGGGACCTTGCTTGGATCGAACAATGGGCTGCGCAAGCCGGAGGGTCATGGAGGGCACGGAAAGGCATCAGAGGGCTGAAGAGAGCCCAATAACGGCATCCACTGGAGTGTGTACTACAGTCGCAATTCAGGGTTCTTTTGAGTTATCATTGTTAACTTCGGGTGTCTGTGCGCACTTTCCGCCCACACTGGCGATCACCATCACCCTGAGCAGCTCGCCACGTACCCTTGACCTGTCCAGTGCCCCAGGCCTCAAGTTGGCGCTTTCAAGGTGGATTTTGATGTACTGAGCTTGACGAGCACGTTGGGAAGCCCTGCGTCTTCGTGAGGTCGCACAACCTCCGAGCCCTTGTGAGGTGACAGACTTGTCTGAGGAATGAGCTGCCTCAGCCGCTGAAACCCAACCATCGGTCAGTTACTGTCGTCCACTTTCGACTTCTAGCTTGCATACGATGGATACGATAGCATATTGACGTGATCAAGCTTCGGCATACGGGGCCGAGCTACGAGGGGGCGGCTGAGATGGCCAAACGCCACGCCCCACAGGCGGCGCAGCCCGACGCAGCCCTCACGACCTACTTGCGGGCAAAATCCAAGTTCTACAGACCAGATACACATGGCGTAGCCGCATGCATAACGCTGACACTTGGATTGATAGCGCACTAGACAATAGATGGCACATGCATAGTACTGACTCGCTGCCCACGACGCGGTACTCGCTAGAGGGAAGTCGTGAGACGATTTTTGCTCCACAGAGATCGCAAGTTGAGTTTTTGCGTTTTGGCGGTATCTCGGCTCTGGCTCTGGCTGGCTACCATCCGTTCAGATCGGAGCTCCAGTTTTCACGCGTGATGCAAGCACCCGGCAGACGTTGCCTCTGCAGTGAGCTTGAGCACTAAGATGGAGAGCGCGACGCTCCGTGTATGGCTGGATAAACCGTTCGGGGCCAACAGAGTTTGAAGGCACAAGTCGGTCAAGCAGTCCAGGTCGGGGGGTTTTGAGCTGAGTTTTGGAACGTTGACTTGTGCAGGCTTTGCCCCCGCTGTGCATGGTCGTCGGGGAACGAGAACAAGCCTGCAAAGTCGAGGCCAGGAGACAAGGCACTAGCTGGCTTGGGGTTGAGTGTGCCGTAACGCAGTCACTGCCGGGTGTACGCTGCGTTTCGGCACGACCGTGATCTGATACGTCCTATCCTGTGAGCCCTGCCTCGCCTCTCCGAGACTCTAGCTTTGCACGGGTGAGGCACAAGAGGAGAGGACAAGGAGATTGCACAAAGACTCGGAGGCAAGGCATACCGCCTGGCACGGAAGCCGGACTGGCGGACCAGCCTTACTGCCAGAGCATTGCCACCGACAAAGTACACCGATGGGCCCAACTCATCTTTAATAAGGCCATAGGGAACACCACACTCCTCGGCAACCCCCACCGACATCCAACATCGACGTCCCACCCCACTCTTACGCTGTCATACCTTTCCACTATCCCATTGTCACTGTCATAGAAGGTCATCGTAGCCACTCAGCAACAATGACCCTTTACTTCGACTCGCACTCCACCCGCAAGGCTCAATACCTTGAGTCCTCTACAGAGGACTCATGGTCAGCGCCTCTTGTCCCCGGTGTCTTCGATCTTGACCCCTGTGCCGACTCGCCCATCAAGATGAACTTCGATTTCGAGCCTCTCCAGTACGAGGTCAAGCTCAGCCACAAGTCCGGCATGCCGGCGCCAGGAGCCCGCCTCATCTCCTCCAAGTGGGCCGCCTCCAAGGGTGACATTGGCTTGGGCCTCTTCCAGCCTGAGACCCAGCACATCGAGGATATTCACCAGCCGTCATCATCATCACCTATTTCGGCACCTACCCCGACAAGGCTACAGCGCCTAGCCCCCGCCCCGCTGGCCACAGTCCCCTCGCCATCACTGCTCCGCGCACCTCGTCTTCCCACCCGCCCTCTCCTTATGTCTTCGCCCAACTCGCCTCTCATCCCCGCCGACTCGGGCACCTGTTCAGTCATCCCCCCAGTAGAGGGCACACGCCCGCCCGCTCCCCCGCGCTTCTCCGCCTTAGGCCTTGACCTCACCGCTTTCGCTCCCGAGCTGTCATATCCCTCGCCTCCTGCCTCGCCATCCGCTGGCCGTGAATGTCGTGCCTCCACTCTCGAGGGGCCACTCAATGAAGAGCGGGGCCGTACTCGCGAACGCGTCCGCCGAGCCGAAGTGGAAGAGGATGTTCCAGGTCTCACTTTTTCAGTGGATGATGGCACTCTTCACAGCCGTGTCGCCAACTGGTCCTGCGCCGTGTATGTCGCGACCAACTCAGGTCCTTCCACGCCGCCCGAGTCCACCCCCATCTCTCTGCCCCTCTACGATGAGGTCGAGCTCGCGACAGCTCTGGGGCGCCTCAACGCAGACTCGGTGGGCCCGGTTCGCATTCCATCCGCGTCCATCGATGCTGTTCAATCTCCGCCGGTTCAGCGCGCAGCATCTCTGCAGCACGAGGGGTACTGCGACACCCTTCAGCAAGATGCTGCTGCAAAGCTTGGACCTTGGGCTGCACGCGTGGGACAGTCACGCGGTCGCCTCGTCAACATGCCGCGCCTTCAGCGCGCTGCAACTTCATCGAGCGCTCAGCGCGCCGGCCGTTCCCCGCGGCAATTCGCCCTGTAATCACCGCCAATTTCGTTGCCACATACACCACCACCACCACCACCAACTCATCTGTACATTCGCCGCAAGCCACCCTACACTCAACAATAGACAAGCAATTGATCCATACATCCATTCATCGATATTCACTGGCCACGGCCGGAGGCGTATATCCCTCCCCGCGTTGTACAAAGAGCCATTTTCATATTGCATGCACACTGGGTTTTCCAGGCAGAGAAGCGGTGTCGGCCATTGAGGCACCCTGTCCCTGAGGATTGGCAGTCAAGTTGCTAAGGCCACGGTCGGCTGGGAGGGTTGATCAGGTGCAGAGGTTCGGATACAGAGTGATACAGCGAGCACGTCTCGATTAAGGTGACTAGCCCCGGTTCTACTGTACACAGTGCTGTCCGCCGTGTCACTGAGTGCCCATCAGCGGTGGCTGAGCAACCAGGAATATAGTCGGAGCGTCTAGCATGATTGTGAGAGGTCAGTGTGAGTTGGGGTAATGGGCTGACAAGGATCAAGTCTGCTCGACCTTACTGTGCTCGACCTTACTGGCCTCTGAATGAAGCTCACGAAACTCCATCACCTCCTGTGTGCCGTATCCGTGTGAGCAGAGTGTCGCTAGCTTTCGGCACACTTGCAGCTCCGCAAATTCGGCTCTGCGTGAGGCTCTGCATCCGCAAAGAAATCATTTTCCTAAGCACCCTGCCAAGTGGTTCCAACCCTCGTCGGCAGGCCTCGGCATCCCCGGTATATGACGGTAAGTATCAGACATGTGGAGCGGGGGCGAGCCCAGGATCGCCGGGCTCCATGAGAAGGCCGCATGTTCCTTTCCCCTGTGGAGGGTGGTTGCTGTTCCTGCGCTCATACGATGCAGGGTCGGAGCTGACTACCACTGGCGAAAACGTGCCCAGCTTGCCCTGCAGTGCCGAAGAACAATGCAGGAATCGGGATCAATCGCTTCCCGTAATCTCGGCGTGCAGTGCCCAACCTCACGCCGCTCACGGCATCGGCGCCTCGGGACGACCGCGGCACTACATCGAAACATATAGGCGACGTTAGCGCCGAAAAGGGCCTGATGCTGACATCATCGTGACATCCGTGATAGCGCACATCACTGATAGGCCTGTTTGGCCGGAAACCTGTTTCGACTAGACGATCTGACGATCTGACGATCACCACCCAAGGGACTGGTTCGAGAGATGTCACGTTCAGTGTCGATCACCGACCAGACCTTGTTGGACAGAGGCAGGATTGCCACACGCTTGCCTTATACTTTCTCCGAGCATCAAGGCCATCATCATGAAATGTCAGATATTTATGCCGAGGGGTTTGCCGGTTTACGGCAAGCCGTGCCTCCTCGACCCCACATCGTGGCTTGCCCTCGAACTGCCGGCATCTACTCAGCCCATTCGGGCGCCGGATTCCTCCCCCCTGATAAAATCCGGCTCACCAATGATGCCAACTCCTACTTGAGGATGAGTCGCGCATGTAGAGCGCTCCATGGATAGCAGCACGTGACGGTATTGTGGCGCCGAGATTCTACAAGACAGGGTCCATCCTACGACGCGTCTCAAGGACTTGCGGTGAGACAGCTTGTAGCATGGCGGGACAATGTACGAAGGTCATTTCTCCCACAACGATTACTCGACTCTAGTCACTGATACATCAGATGCGCCCACAAGTCTTGGACGGTGCGGCTTTCCCACAACCCTTGTATGCGCGACACTGTCAACGGGGATGGGCAGTGGAAGTTCGTCGGGTGAACGCGTTGAATGGCCGATCACATCCTGAGGACTTTGAGCGACGAGCAGTGCTGCTCAGCGCCCTTGTAACTGATAGCAGCCTAGGTAGGCATGGTCACTAGGTATTGTCGAGTGCTGCGACGCTACCCGTGGTACCTTGATGGCGGCAGTGCTCCGCTGCCAAAGCCTTTCTGGCCATTCGTGGGGGGGTTGGGGGG